GCAGTCCAAGGGACTCTCAAGAATCTTCTCCAACACCACAGTTCAAAAGCATCAATTCTTCAGTGCTCAGCCTTCTTTATAGCCCAACTTTCACATCAGTACATGAACAGTGGAAAAACCATAGCTTTGACTAGATGGACATTTGTCAGCAAAGTAATGTCTCTGCTTTTTAGTATGCTGTCTAGGTTGGTCATAGCTTTTCTTCCAAGGAACAAGCCTCTTTAATTTCATGGCCGCAATCACCATCTGCAGTGATTTTGGAGCCCAAAAATATAAAGTCTGTCACTATTTCCATTGTTTCCCCATCTATTTCCCATGAAGTGATGGGACCAGATGCCATGAACTTCCTTTTTTGAATGTTGAGTTTTAAGCCAACTTCTTCATTCTCCTCTTTCACTTTCATCAAGAGGCTCTTTAGTTCTTCTTCACTTTCTGCCATAAGGGTAGTATAATCTGCATGTTTGAGGTTATTGATATTTCTCCCAGCAATCTTGATTCCAGATTGTGCTTCCTCCAGCCCGGCATTTTGCATGATGTACTCTGCATATAAGTTAAATAAACAGGGTGTCAATATACAGCCTTGACGTTCTCCTTTCCTGATTTGGAAACAGTCTGTTGTTCCATGTACAGTTCTAACTGTTGCTTCTTGACCTGCCTGCATACAGATTTCAGGAGGCAGGTAAGGTGGTCTGGTATTCCCATCTCTTTCAGAATTTTCCACAGTTTTTTTGTGATCCACAGAGTCAAAGGCTTTGGCATCGTCAATAAAGCAGAAGTAGATATTATTCTGGAACTCTCTTGCTTTTTCGATAAAGCATTAGTGAAACAATGAAAGGGAGTCTCTGGACTTCATACCAGGATGACAGTTGGGTGCTTGAGTAACTATTAAATTATTTAAAATCAGTGGAGCAAGTTCAACTTGTAAAAACAAAAAATTATATCTACCTGTGGCAGGATTAGAGCTTTCCAGGTGGCAAAAGTAGTGAAGAACTTGTCTGTCAGCGCAGGAGACACAAGACGCGGGTTCAATCCCTGAGTCAGAAAGATCCCCTGGGGGAGGGCATGGAAACTTTGTCTGGAGAATCCATGGACAAAGGGGCCTGGGGGGGCCACAGTCCATTGGGTCTCAAAGAGTCAGACTCTACTGAAGAGACTTAGCCTGCAGTACCCCCGTGGTGGGATTAAATGTGGTGCATAAATAGGCACCTAACTCAGGGTCTGGAATATAGAAAATGCTGGAAATCTTTCAGCATCTTTATCCTCCGATATCCCTCTATTGTAGATCCACAAATGTGGAGAGAGAGAGAGCATTGAAGAGCATAAGTGGTCTTGTTTCAACCAGCTTTGCTAACAATAAGTAAGCACCCTCAAATTAAAATTTCTAATTTTATAATATTAATTGCTATCCCATTTTACAAATACTCAGAAATTGAGATTAAGAAACTGTGTCACTCTCCTGAAGCCACCCTGCAAGTTAAGGATCAGCCTAGGGCGGGATCCTGGCTTACCCATCACTTTCAAACTTGCCTCCCCTACTGAAAGTCTGTGAATGGCACTAAAGGAAAATCATCTCTATTTATGCTTCAAACTCCTCTACTCTCCCCTCTGTGCCCTTTGCCACTAAGAACTGTCAGGAGAGGAACTTTCCTGGCAGTGCAGTGACTAAGACTCCGTGTTCCCAGTGCTGGGGCCCAGGTTCGATCCCGGGTCAGGGAACTAGATCCCATAAGCTGCAACTAAGACCTAAATAAATAATTTAAAAAAGAACTGTTCGGAGTTTTCTAAAGACTGTTGAAACCTTCACGGTCACCCCTTGAAGGGTGTGCACGCGCGTTGTATGTCGAGCAACTTTTACACCATCTTTGGTCCTTCTAAGCTTCATACTTTGGGCTTGACTTCAGTTTTGTTTGAGCCACAGAGACCCTGATAAGAAGCTCTCGCTGACCAGGATAATGAGAGAGCAAACAGCAATATGAAAGTCACAGCTGCGGTTCTACAAACCATAATTTAAAAGCAGTTTGTGAAATGAGGTTGTCTCTATAGCCCTTCTGCATACCATTTGGACTGCCTTCTGAGCTTTTTGCCCCCTTCAAGTCGCTGTTGAACTTAATTCATCTAAATGGTATTTATCAATTGTCTACTGCGTGCTGGGCATGGCATTGAGTCTAGATAACAAATGATGCGCAACAAAGATACAGCCCTGGTCCTCAAAGTGCAACAAGCCAGCCAGGGAGACAGCCACTTTTTAAAATGCCATCTCAATAACACACACCACATTAACACAGCACACACAACCAGCTAATTGTGAGAAGCAAGAGATGATTGTGAGAAGTTGGGTAAAAATGGGAGTGAAGGAAGAAACATTTTAGGAACTAAGAATGATGTGCATGAGGTATGGGATAACAGTGTGTGGAGAGAATGCTCCAGATGCTTAGAGAGAACAGCTTGAGTGAAAAGCCGAAGTACTTTCCCCAGATCACAGGTGGCTGAGCTTATTTCAATGCAAAGGTCCATAATCAGAAGAAGGGCAACAAATCTGAACTTGTCATTGTCTAACAAATACTCCAATATTTCTCATTTTTTGAAGTAGTTTAAAACCACATTGTTTAGATCTCCATGCAATGTATAATTTGTTAGTTGATGGATTTTTTTTATCAGAGATGATCATTTTCTTTTAATTTTGGGGGTTTTTTTTGGCTGCCCTGTGTGGTTTTGGGGATTCTAGTTCCCCAACCAGGGATTGAGGAAACCCAACCAGGCACTCCCCCTGCAGTAGAATCATGGAATCCTCACCACTGAACTATCAGGGAATTCTCTGTTACTTAGTGTTTTACAACCTCATGTAGAGTTTATCAACATGAGGACTTTGCATTTATTGTCTGTTGGAATTATCACGAGCACCTTTTGGGCCACTGCAAAACCAGAAATCAAAGTGGGAACATACCTATGTGTTCCCAAAGTTAAACCTCTGCACCTACTCCTATAGAGTCTCCTTGGAAGGAACAGTGGAAATAGTCATTTTCAAAAATGTAGAAAATAAATTTATGATTATGAAGGGATAAAGTAGGGGAGAGGAATAAATTGGGAGATTGGGGTTGACATATACACACTACAATTATAAAATAGATGAATAATAAGAACCTACTGTATAGCAAGGGGAACTCTAATCAATACTCTGTAATGATCTATGTGGGAAAAGAATCTAAAAAAGAATGTGTGTGTGTGTGTGTGTGTGTGTGTGTGTGTGTGTAAAACAATCATTTTGCTTCTGTTGTTTAGTAGCTCAGTCGTGTCCAACTCTTTGTGACCCCATGGACTGTAGCACATCAGACTTTCCTGTCCTTCACTATCTCCTGGAGTCTGCTCAAACTCATGTACATTGAATCAGTGATGCCATCCAACCACCTCATTCTCTGTCACCCACTTCGCCTCCTGCCCTCAATCTTTCCCAGCATCAGGGTCTTTTCCAATGAGTCAGTTCTTCACATGAGATGGCCAGAGTATTGGAGCTTCAGCTTTAGCATCAGTCCTTCCAATGAATCCAGACCACCTGATCAGCCTCTTAAGAAATCTGTATACAGGTCAGGAAGTTAGAGTTAGAACTGGACATGAAACAACAGGCTGGCTCCAAATAGGAAAAGGAATACGTCAAGGCTGTATATTATCACCCTGCTTTTTTAACTTATATGCAGAGTACATCATGAGAAATGCTGGGCTGGATGAATCATAAGCTGGAATCAAGATTTCCGGGAGAAATATCAATAACCTTAGATATGCAGATGACACCACCCTTATGGCAGAAAGTGAAAAAGAACTAAAGAGCCTCTGGATGAAAATGAAAGAGGAGAGTGAAAAAGTTGGCTTAAAGCTCAACATTCAGAAAACTAAGATCATGGCCTCTGGTCCCATCAATTCATGGCAAATAGATGGGAAAACAGTGTCAGACTTTATTTTGGGGGGGCTCCAAAATCATTGCAGGTGGTGAATGCAGCCATGAAATTAAAAGATGCTTGCTCCTTGGAAGAAAAGTTATGACCAACCTAGAGAGCATATTAAAAAGCAGAGACATTACTTTCCTGACAAAGGTCTATCTAGTCAAGGCTATGGTTTTTCCAGTAGTCATGTATGGATCTGAGAGTTGGACTATAAAGAAAGTTGAGTGATGAAGCATTGATGCTTTTGCACTGTGTGTTGGAGAAGATTCTTGAGAGTCCCTTGGACTGCAAGGATATCCAACCAGTCCATCCTAAAGGAAATCAGTCCTGAATATTCATTGGAAGGACTGATGTTGAAGCTGACTCCAATACTTTGGCCACCTGATACAAAGAACTGACTCATTTGAAAAGACCCTGATGCTGGGAAAGATTGAAGGCCGGTGGAGAAGGGGACAACAGAGGGTGAGATGGTTGGATGGCATCACTGATTCAATAGACATGAGTTTGAGTAAACTCCGGGAGTTGGTGATGGATAGGGAGGCCTGGCATGCTGCAGTCCATGGGATCGCAAATAGTCCGACACGACTGAGTGACTGAACTGAACTGAACTTCCAGTGAATATTCAGGGTTGACTTCCTTTAGGATTGACTGGTTTGATCTCCTTGTTCTCCAAGGGACTATATATATATATGCTTATATATATTTTATGTATATAAGTATATATATAACTTAATCATTTTGGTGTACAACATTTTTAATTTAAAAATGTATTGAAAGAAAAAAGAGTTTAGACACTCATGTGCAAAGGATCATTTCTATCAGCTGGCTACTTTCGATCTACACTGTATTTTCTTCAAACCAGCATTTATAGCAATCTGGTTACAGGGCATAATTTTCTCCAGCGGATGGGGCGTTTTCACCAGCCTTGCCCCTTTTTTTTCTTGCAGTGTCACAGGAGTGCCTTGAGCTTGTAGCCCAATTCCACATGCAGAGCAGCCCCTCTGTCCTTATCAGCCTCCCACAACCCGTGAAGCCCTCAGTGTGCCTCTGTCCTTTGCCACAAACATGAGGTTCACGTTCCCTCTCATGGCCATTGGCCTGGAAGTTGTCATGATTGTTTTATTTGCATTATTTGTTCAGTATGACACGGGTTCGAACAGTCCCAAGGCCAACAGCACTGAGTCACCTGCCATAGATGTGGAAACATCCATGGACTTGTATCCTCGTGAGTAAGCCATCTGCTTCTTATTGCACATTTTTGGGTTCTCAGAATGTGAGGTCTGTGGGTATTGTAACCTCTAGCACTCTACACTGGAGCCCCCTGTAGAATTATGTGACAGTTCTGAGTGCTAAGGGTATAAAAGTTTATGCTGGGACATCTGATCTCTGTAGTTCATGTGTTTGGATAGAATCTGTATGTATTAAACTATCAGAACAAGAAGCTGAGAATTGAATTAACTGATCAATTTTTGATGTTCTTTTTCTTTTTTTTAAGTAAAAAAAATTTTTACTGGAGTATAGTTGCTTTAAAATATTGTGTTAGTTTCTGTTGTGCGGCAAAGTGAATCAGTTATATGTTTACCTAGATGCCCTCTTTTCAAGATTTCCTTCCCATTTAGGTAAATGACGTTGCTTTTACTTTGATTACTAGTTCTGCAAGGTATAAAAATATCCCTCCCCCACCAAAAAAAAAAAAAAAGATTTAGAGTTAACTTTGGAGGAGAAACTAGAAACAAAATGTAATGGGGAAAGGGAGCCTGGATTTCATGTGAGATCCCTAAGGTATAAGAAGGGGTATGAAGGATGATACCGGATATAAATAATACTGTTGTTGTTTAATTGCTAAGTCTTGTCCGACTCTTTTGTGACCCCATGGACTGTAACTTCCCAGGCTCCTCTGTTCATGGGATTTCCCAGACAAGAATACTGGAGTGGGTTGCCATTTCCTTCTCCAGGGGATTTTCCCACCCGAGGGATGGAACCCACGTCTCCTGCATTGGCAGGCAGATTCTTTACCACTAAGCTACCAGGGAAGCCCTGGAAATGCTGTACTGAGGGTTTTATAAAATTCTGAAAGGAAGACTGTTTGTTCCTCTGAGATGAGAAAATAAAATTGTGAGCATCCAACATAGTTTAAAAGCAGAACCCTTCCCTGGGAATGGCAACTGAAAGAAGGAAAGGATTTAGTTTCAAGTTTGGAAAGACAGGTTGTGAAATAGTATAACAATAATAATTGCCATTTACTGACTACCTATTATGAGTTAGGCATACTCCTCACCTTGTTAACCAGGGAGGAAGATAATAATATAATCCTATAATATAGACTGGTTTTTTAGTGAGGTACAAATAATTTATTATTGATTAAATGTTAAATTGTATTAAATTATTCTAATAGCAATATTTATTATAGTTCTACAGCATATCTCTAAGCTTTTCAAAAACAATGTGACCTTTGTTCTCTCATTTCTACATTTTTTGAGGGAACATATATAATGGGGAGTATTCTCAAGTAGAAATTATGACCTAGAGTTGCTGAGTCAAAACGCACAATCTCAAGTAAAGGACACAGTTAGGGCTGTAAGTCAGAGGCTCCGGGTCCACATCTAGTTCTCTTTACACTACATAGATATCCAAAAGGATTCTGGATGAAAGAATCTTACAATTTGCAAGTTCAAGAACACCAAAACAGAAAAGAATTCTGTTCCACTCTGTACACTTTTGTACATTTCATTTCATCATCTATTCTTCTGGCTATAACTTGAAAGTACTGCTAACAGGATTTTCTGTTATATCAGCTATATCATACATGAAAACAAGAGAGGAATAAAAAAAATGATGTCAAGGGCAGGATGCTTTTTCATTTTACAAAGGAAACATCAAGTCACAGTTGTCAATAATAATAATAATTAACAATCAATGTACTTTGAAACAGCCAACACACACACTCCCCCCCACCCCACAACCTCTTCCTCGCCTTAAAGGCAGTGAGGCTGGGATACAGGCAGGCGGCAGGATAAAGGAGGGAGAATTCAAGCAACAGAGGCCCCTGGGGGCCCAGAAGAAAGGCAGTAAGCAGAACATAAAGGGACATTTTACATGGAAAACAGTCTTACATTCAGAATGCTCTTCACAGCCCAATCTATACACAATTCAAGGTTCTCTCTTCTAACAGGTCCACGGATACAGAGAACAGACTTGTGGTTGCCGAGGAGGAAGAGGGCTGGGGAGGGATAGCCTGGGAGTCTGGGATCAGCAGGTGCAAACTTTTATATACCAAGTGGATAAACAAATCCTAGTCGTCTAGCACTGGGAAGTCTGTTCAATATCCTGTAATAAACCATTAAAGCAAAAGGGAAAAAAGTTCTCCCTCAGTAAGATGGCTCTCGAGATGTAAAATTCCACCTAGTGCTAATTTTACAGTTCAGCAACCTTATCATTGGTTAAACTACTTCGTAGAACAGCCCTAGAAACAACATGGTTTTACTGATTATATGTATATATTTTTCCCCACATTTCAAACAACCTATGTACACCAAATTTATGTATCAGCGTAAGTCATTGGAGAGAAGTTTATGAAATATTCACTAATTAAGAAGCAAAATTCAAGTCAACAAAATATTTGAGGGTGCCTGCCTAGCACCAGGCACTGTGCCAAGCGCAGGAATTCAAGACAGAAAAGGCTCAGTTCCCATCTAAGAAGCTCACAGTGCATTACAAGAGTTCTCAACTGCAGTATGCTGAAAGTTGTGAATTTCTCACAAACAAATCAGTGTTAGTTACTATGTTGTGTCTGACTCTTTTGTGACCCTAGCCCAGCAGGCTTCTCTGTCCATGGGATTCTCCAGGCAAGAATACTAGAGTGGGTTGCCATGCCCTTCCCCAAAGGATCTTCCTAACCTAGGGTTCGAACCCAGGTCTCCAGCATTGCAGGCAGATTCTTTACCATCTGAGCCACCAGGGAAGATCTAAAAGTAAATCAAGTGGGATATTAATTTATATTTTAAACAAATCCAATTGAATATAATTTTATTCATCCGTCTGACTTACTGCATTCAGCTATGCAATGCAGAGAAAGGGGTGAGGTCGCACAGACCTGGCATCTGAACCCATCCCAAGGCACAGTCACAGAAGTGGGTGTCACACCTGACATCACGTTGCACGTAATGACGGACCCCAGAGAAACCCATCTGAGAAACTAGGTCTACTCCATGGTTTGGGCTTTCATGGCACCCAGCAAAGAGTCGACCCCTTTGTTGAGGCAAATAACTTGACAAGAAATGAGGCCTGACTGTGACTGAGGCTCCGTGGTAAAGAATCCGCCTGCCAAAGCAGGAGACTCAGGAGACGTAGGCTCAACCCCTGGAGTGGGAAGTCCCCTGGAGGAGGAAATGACAACCCACTCCAGTGTTCTTGTCTGCAAAAAGCCACGGACAGAGGAGTCTGGTGGGCTGGAGTCCATGGAATCGCAAAGAGTTGGACACGACTGAGGACACATGCACATGACTATGGACTAATCCTTGCTAACACGGAGAAAGACTAGAGAAAAGTAGAGTTGAAAAAGAAGGCTCTTTGAAGACTATTAACATGCTCTTAGAAATTCTGCAAACACAAGGTGTTTAATGCTTATGGGACATTAAAACCACATCAATGAATTCTTCGTCCTCTGTTAAACATTAGAATCCATTAGCCTATCTTGTCACTTTGAGTGGATCATTTATCCATGTGTGATCTTGTTACATTGTACATTGATCACACTTGAAGAATTACTGAAGATACAGTAACAGATTAGTACAATGATTTATTTGTAAAATCTCCATTTAAGAAGGTCCCTATATTTTTACAGATTTTATTTATTTATTTATTTATTTACTTACTTACTTACTTATGTTTGGCCACACCAAGGCTTGCAGGACCTTAGTTCCCAACCGGGGACTGAATCCAGGTCACACCAGGGAAAGTGTCAAGTTCTAACCACTGGACTACCAGAGAATTCCTCCTTCAAGTTCATTTATTACAAGAAATTCAGCAATCTAGATGTATGTTACAGGCAAAGGGTTACAAAAGTGCAGGAAAACAATTCCTAAGAAATTATTTGCTTCTATTCTAAAGGATACCTGAAATTGTTACAATAACTGAGTTAACATGCTCTGTTTTGTAATCTAACAATAAGATACTGGCCTCTGGTGTGCTGCCTTTGAGTTGAACAGTTTTGTTTACTTGAAAGAACTGGAAGCAGTGCGTACAAATAGAACGGAAATCTTGGCTTCTAACGACCATCTCCACTGAGGGGCTCATTCCTGGTCAAGGTAAACCAAGGAGGTATACACTAATGGGGATGTGTCAGCAGAACACAGGATCCTACTTGAAAGAACACCAATTAGCTGAATTGGGGGTAAACAGAGGATTCAGAATAAGAATAGTGTGATGATGATAGATGATAACACACGGAAACAAAGGAAAAAGGCTTCATTGAGTCCATAGAAATATACCCTAAATCAGGGTACGGGGATCAGATTGGAATTCTTTGTATACAAATGCCAACTAATTAATACAAAAGAACTAGTAGATATAAAAATTATAATTTTGAAATTAAAAAAATGTAACAATTGACTCTAGCAAGGTTCACCAATGGCAGCTAAAATTATTAGGTAAAAAGTGATTGGACAACACAGGATGAAAGATACATCCATAGGGAGAGATCTGGCAGAACAGTCTTAAGCAAGAGATCTGATGTATCATCACCAGTAGTAAGACAAACAAATTATGTGCTACCTGGTATGATGAAATAGCAATTGTACAACACCATCTGTATTAATAGTCTTGCCAAAATGTATAGTCTGATTCTAATTTTGGTGAAATAGCCAAATACAAACTGTGGTACATTCCACATTAAAGACAAATCAATACCACCAGTAAAAAGCATGGTGTGAAGTGAAGTGAAAGTGGCTCAATCATGTCCAGCTGCTTGTGACCCCATGGACTCTTCACTCCATGGAATTCTCCAGGCCAGAATACTGGATTGGGTAGCCTTTCGCTTCTCCAGGAGATCTCCCCAACCCAGGCATTGAAACCAGGTCTCCCTTATTGCAGGCGGATTCTTTACCAGCTGAGCCACAAGGAAAGCCCACAAAAGCATTGTGAGAGACTTTAAATTAAAAGAGTCTAAAGACGTGTAATAAGGGCTTCCCAGGTGACTCAGTGGTAAAGAATCCATCTGCCAGTGCA